CGTCATCATAGCCGGATTTAGCCGTTTTTACAAATGCACCTCTCACCGTGTTAATTTTGCACGAGGCGGTCACTCTGGGTTCAAACACTTGTAGCAAGAAATTGCCGACAGCATCGGGCTAAGTTGCAGTTTGAGCTGATCTATCGACCAGAGGTTTGTAGATTTAGCTCCCCCTTCCTCTTGGTGCATAAAATAATATCATCGTGTGTGAAACACCCCGGAAACTCAAGGACTTCCTAGAAAATCCTTCTCTCTCTCTCTCTCTCTCTCTCTCTCTCTCTCTCTCTCTCTCGTTGGGCTCCCGCCCCTCAACTCCACCCCTCTGCTTCACATCCCGGGCCCTGGGGCCGGGACAGTTCTCGCACCGTTAGCTCTCTTTGCTGACTTCATCGCTTCTAGCCTTCCCGTCCCCCTGAAACGGGCTTTTAACTAGGGAGCGTCCCTCTGAACCTGGCGGACCGCCACCTTTTGGTCTTAAACCAGAACTTCGGGAGGAGCATGGCGCCCCCTGCCGGAAGCCTGCGGGAACTCGGGGATCAAGAAAAGGGGGTTTCCGCCTGGCCCCATGCTCCCCTGGAGCCTTGGTCTGAGAGGCAGGGGAGACGTGGCTCCCTGCGATGGGGTCATGCAGAGCGAGCGAGTTCTGTGTGGTCAGACGGCGGGATTCAAAGTTTGAGTGTCCAAATCAGGAGCTGTCTGACATTCAGCTAGTTATTTACTTTGAACGTCTGTTTCTTTGCTGTAACATGGGATCACTGTCACCCCCTGCCGAGGGTTGTCCTCAGGGCACTAATCATGCTCTGTCTGGCTTCTTGGGGTGGAGCATTTCAAAGGTAGGTGGATGGGCAACAGGACATTTAGGCTTTTACCGTTTGCACTGCCCTTAAGTCCCTCTTTTCAACACCAAGTTCCAGGGCAGCCTGTTTTCAGCTTCTTATAAGGGTGTCCCAAAATTCACGCAAGAAGTAATTTTGATAGAAAACACAGGTTTATAATTAAAAATTGTAAATTTTTTATTGATTCATAAATTATACAGGATAGGGTTATGTATGGAATAGCATATCGGGTAAATGGCCTCCACGGCACAAAAAACTGGATTATCATGTCGCGATAGTGAGCACCATTAACTGTTATTGCCTGAGCAGCTGCATTTTCAAAGAAGAATGGTCCAATGATGCCTCCAGCCCAAAATCCACACCAAACAGTGATACGTTGTGAAAGAGTGCATGTGCTAGCAAAGCCGTGGAGGCCATTTACCCGATATGCTATTCCATACATAACCCTATACTGTATACTTTATGAATCAATAAAAAAATTTGCTATTTTAAATTATAAACCTGTGTTTTCTATCAAAATTACTTCTTGCGTGAAATTTGGGACACTCTTTAACTTAGCTATTAAGCTGACATTTATAAAGCACCCACTGTGTGCTGCAAAGCACCTCCCTATCAATTGCAAGAGAGATTGTACCTCAAGTCTAGGGGGACACTGCTGAGCCAGAGGAATGAGGAAGGCTGTGCGAGAAGCTGGCCGTGGCTTTTCCTGTGGTTTCCTCACCTGCCCCCATCTTATGTTTGCTATTGCTGAGGACCAAAGTCCCGGGCCACCTGTCTAGCCTTCCTTGCCAGTGGCCTGCATCCTGGGCACTGCTCTTTCTGACTGTGGGTTTGAGTCTGGCACTCTACTCCCTTCCCAGGCTCAACTTCTGGAACCCTAAGCCCCATATTCCAGCATCCACACAGGCGATGACCCTCTGGTATCCCTCCGGAAGCCTCTGTCTCTCCTGGCCATTTTCTCAGGCCAGGCTCCACTGCTCTTACTTCCCTTCAGTTCTAGGAAAGCACTCTCAAACCTCTCTCTGGGTGCCCCTCAGATTTGGAGCTGCTGGAGTCTGGAGCACCAACCTCCCTCCTCCACTATAACACAGTGCCATCAGCAGTGGAGGAACTCACTGACCCAGTGGGCAGAAGCCAGGCCACCTGGGATCTCCCCATTCAGCCAGAGGATCGAGAATTCTAGAGCTGCTTATACCCTACTACCAGCATCAGCTGGGGACACCCTGGCCTCGCCCAAGTGCCAGTCCCATCTCGTAATATTGTAGTGCTGACTCAGGTCCCCATCCACTCCTCATGTGCAGAGGACATTGTGGTATAGCTTCAGGGACGGTCATTTTCATTGAGTGCCAGGATATGCCTGGAATGACATCCAGAACTGTCCCAGCCAGTGGGTCTGGGCTATCTGTGTGGACTGCCCCTTGGTCTTTACTTTGGCCACCAGCAGCCCTGGACTGACCCACAACTCCCATCCTACTCAAGCTGCAAAATGTGGCTGTGAGCCCCTGGCCTTGAGAGATAGAGTACATTTGTCTCAAGTCCTCCGTGGAGCTCATGGCCTCATGGCCTGGTCAGCTAGCAGTGAGCATTGTCTTAAAGGAGATGACCATTCATGGCCTGAGGACATTTGGGACAAGGGCAGCAATGAATCAATGGGAGGGGGAGGGGTGCTTTGATGCCAAAGGCAGCTAGCCTTCTCAGGCTCTTGGTTTCTTCCAGAAAGCCTCTGCCCCCACCCCATAGCCCTCTGCTCAGACAACACTGAAATCACAGCCGGATTGGTCTTTAGGAAAGGCAGGGAACTGGATTCAGATGAGGATATAGAAAGAGGGGTCCAGAGGTACAGTGGGCAGGAGCCCCCAGAAGAGGAGGCTGCAGGGAGGAGGGACAGACAAAGCCTCTATGCAGGGCTGCAAGCCACAGCTCTGGGTGACTAAGGGGTTGGAGGACAGGAAAATCTGAGGATGTGATCCCTACGCTTTTCTTTATTTTATTTTTTAAAATATATTTTTAGCCCTCGCTGGTTTGGCTCAGTGGATAGAGCATCGGCCTGTGGACCAAAGGGTCCCGGGTTTGATTCCAGTCAAGGGCATGTACCTTGGTTGCAGGCTCCCTGCTGGCCTGGGCCCTGGTTGGGGCATGTGCAGGAGGCAACCAATCAATGTGTTTCTCTCACATAGATGTCTCTCTCTCTGTCTCTCCCCCTCTCTCTAAAAATCAACAGAAAAATATCCTCGGTGAGGATCTTTTTTTTTTTTTAAACCAATTAACCAGCCTAAAATAACCCTTATGCCAAATAGCCATATTTGGGGGCAACAAATTCTGTTCCCCTACAGCTGTTACGCTAC